ACAATGAGTAATATAAGGGGAATTGAAAACAGAGCAACTTTAGTTAATGGTTTGCTTTAGCAGAGGAAACACAAAAGCAAACTTTAAATTGAAAAAGGCAAAGAAACATGAGGAAAACAGGAAACAGAGAGTTAGCTAAAAGACATAATATAAGCTTATTATTAATACAAATGCTATTACAAAACCCTACAAATCCCATTGAAATGCTTTTAATTAATATCTGCCTCAATCTTCTCTACAAAGAAAAAGAGAGCAAGACTTCACCTTCCTAAACAGAGCAAGACTTCACAAGCTATGAGTTGATATACCAAATATCTGAATCTGAAGTTATGGTATACTCCAGAAACAAAGGTAGCTTCTTGACGTGGAAACGCGATTGAGAGGTCACGTAATTCTGAAAAACCGGTAGAAAAACCGAAAATGAACAAAGACCACCTGAGATAAACTAGTACAGTTACATGAAATTATAGAGAAAATGTGTATAGAAAAGTTTGCATACCATACACGTTGTATACATCAGGAGCTATATCATACTCGTGGTGGTCGTCTTGAAGTTTCTGCTTTCCTGAGAAATTATTTTGAAACAAAAGCTCATTAAAGTTTAAGTTTTTTCGGCAGTAGAACTTTAACTAAAGTGGTCAAGTTCTTCACAGGAGCCTTTAATTCTCTTAAGGCATAGAAATTAGAGAAAGAAGATGCTTTAACTAAAAACATTATCTGCTTTCAAAAGACGAGTGCTTTAATGGTACAAAATGTATAGTGACACTGAAAAGAAGGAAAGAACAAGAACTATGCATGCTAATAATCTTTTTAGAAACCAGTGATTATCGGTATCTGTGTAAAGTTACACCCAAAACTCTTGAATTGAGCAAAAAACACTAACACCAGAAGAGTACTTTTTTTGGTTGTATAAACTTACTTAAACCAACTTCAAAACAAAACTCTCAAAAGACTTGATCTCTGATAACAAACTCAAATAAGCGAATGTAAAAGATCGAAATTTTGAGAGAAGATAAGAACCTGTTGTGGATAGGATCAGGTCCATTTGGAACTTTTCGCTTGCTCACATGAAACAGATTCACATCCTTACCATTAAACCGCAACGTCTTGACATTTTCTGTTGATGAAACCCTTGGTGCAGACTTTGCTAAGATACCGACCAGAAGAAACAGAATAACACCCAAAGACACAACAGCTCTAACCAAAGCTCTAATGCCATTTCCACCCATACTGCAACCTATGTCCCTACAGATTCCTGTTTAACATGAACAACTGTCCAACCAAACCCAAGAATAAACTGAGCAGAACATCCATGATGTTGGTGAAGTGACTGTCACATAAATAGAGAGAGAGAACTTTGGACAGAAGAAGCTAAAAAAAGGGGAAAGCGAAATGGGAAGCAAGAAACAAGCATTTAGGTTGTTTCTATATACCTTGGAATACAAATCCGTGATTGGCCTTATATAAAGATGAAGCACACAAAGCAACAGTTTACATACGTAGGTGTCCACGT